TCTTCCCATCCATCCATCCATCCATCCATCCACTCAACACCCTCTCTATCCATCCATCCATCATCCACCCACCCACCACGCATCCATCCACCTGTCCACTGTGTCCCTCTGTCCATCCATCTACCTATCTACCATCTCTCCTCCTCCCTCTCACCTGTCCGTCCAGATAACCCGTGTCTGTGTCGTGCACAGGGAAATGTCCGGTTTGTTCTGTGTCTCTGGAGACCCCTGACCGAGACGGCCCCCAGAGACCAGACACATAAGGAGGCATTCTCCTCACGTGCGCATGTGCTGACACCCACACATGCCTTCTCCTTTCTCCCCCCCATCCTCTGTCCCACCGTCTGGGGAGCGGCCCGGCTTCTGAGGGCAAAGGGACAGCGGGTCCGGTCGTCCCTGCCTCGGCTCCCAGACCCCGTTCCCTCGGTGATGTGCTTCTGCCTCTGTGACTCTCCGAGAAACACCTCCCGGTCCCCTTACCTCTCTCCGTCTTGTCCAGCAGTCCCAGGGCTACACAGACGTCCAGCAGCTGTCCAGTTCCTATCTCTGAGGCACCGATTTTCCTGGCAATGTCCTCCGCACGCAGGGGGCCTTCATCTCTCAGTAAGTCGAACACCTTCATCTTGCAAGCTGTGAAGAGGACCTGTGCGGGAGCAGCAGGCCCAGTTAGAACCTCCCTGGACCCTCCAAGCAAGGGTGACCCAGGGAGACCTGCATCTCAGACGCCTGGTGTCCAGGACAGAAACAAGATGACTTCCCATGGCTTAGCCCCCAGGTTGTAGCCCTTCGTCAAGTCACCCCAGGGCCCCCGGCAGGACACCTGGGACACTTTGAGGCCGTATATCATCTTCACAATGGCAGTCGGGGGCAGGCTCTCCACGGTGGCTGTGCAGTCTGCATCCTTCGCGTCCTTCCCGTGCTTCTGCAAGAATCCGAACCCAGCTTCAGGAAGGACTCGGGTCTGTGGTTTGGTGCCTGCAAGCAGCTTCCCTGCTGGTCCCTGGGCTGACTCTGGAGAGCAAGGCCTGCGTGGCTCCTGGTGCTGGGCGGGGACGGGAGTGTGTCCCACCTCGTCCCTGGGCCCCACTGACACAGGAGCCTTCCCCTCAGAACACCGGTCTCTCAGGACTCACTCACTTGTACCACTGCTCACAGTAGGACCTACAGTGCACTTAGTATCCCAGCTGCCATGGGATGTGATTGCAACGTGTAGTGATAAGTTACATTAATTCTGTGCAGTGGAAGAAACCATTGTATTCATTACAGGAAGGGATTACGCAGTAACACATAGTAATAGATACATTCACATAAATGATACTGTTGTAGGACATACCAACAAAGTAACTCATCATCTATATTCTAGAAGTGATACCATTAGCTACAATGGTGTGTTATAAAGTTACACATGGTAACGGACAAGTAACGTTAACTCTAAATTGTAAAGGACACCTTGGGCTCCTGAGGACAGTCCCCTCTGTGGTAACAAAGCAATAGACTGGCTACTACGTTAACTCTTGTTGACAAGCTGTACTACAAAAACGCTGCATGAGTGTAACAGCCCGGTCCTCTGCGACACTCAGCCGTAGATAAGCGGTGTTACTGCCCACTCCAGTGGACGTGGAAGGAACACGTCGACTCAAAACCTGGCCCCCCAACCGCCTCTCCCAAAGCCCACGTGTCCCGAGTGGCAGAAGCAGAGCCCTTGCCTGGTGCATCCTCCTGGCCACCTCCAGAGTCTTCTGCTTGGCCGTTTCCATGGCGTATGCGTAAGGGGTGGGGAACGAGGCTTTACTGAGCTGCCCTTTGAACCTGGAAGGAACCACCTGGAACCTGGGCCCCTGCAATGGGAGAAGGGGGACAGTGAGAGGGTGAGGCACGCAGCTTGCACCAATCACAATGGGCTGGGTCACGGCCAGTGTGGGCTCTCAGTGCCGGACCAGACCCTGAACTCTCTCCAACAGCACATCCTGCACAGCCGGATCTTGGGACCTAGAAGGAAGACCTGTGTTCATGCTGGTCACCCAAAGGCCCCGGGGGGCAGTATTGACTGAGGTGCTGTGTACCTCTGTGGGTGGAAGAGCCCCCAGGACATTCCCAAGGCCGGTACTCCACCCCCACAGGGGCCCAGCCCCTGGAAATTCACTGCCTGCAGGAAACGCAAAGGACAGAAATAAGTTGTGTGGGGAAATGGGACTACCTCAGGGGTCCCTCATCCTGACCGAGCAAGGCAGTTCCCGGTGCCTGAACCGGGTTGGTCGTGTCCATGGCCTCTGGAGTGCCTGCTCTGTGGCCCCTGAGGCCCTGGTGTCGGCGGTCCCTCCCTTGGCAGCCCCTACAAAGCACCCCTGTGGCTTGGTCCCTGCCCCTCCCCCAGCAGCCTCAGGGCAGGGGCAGCTGAGTACCGGGCACCGATTTGTTCTGCCAAGAGGCCATGTCATGGAGCACACCAGACCCCCGGGCCTGGTCAGAACACTGGAGCCCACGTGACACGGGTTCTGGCTTCCCCGGGCCCACCGACCTGAACCCCGGCCACTAGGAGCTTCCCCCAGACCCCACTGCTTCAGTTCCTGGTCTGGGCCTAGAGACGGTGGACCTCACACCTCGTCGCTGGTCCCCATGTGCCCACCGGCCCCAAACACCGGGCCAGGGCAGTAGGCAGCCCCTGGTGCTCCACCCGTCCAGGGGCCCCAGGTTGAGTAGGCTCGGGGATCAGTAGCACGCCCCTCGCACCCAGAACCCGACCCGGTTCTGTCCCAACTATTCACCGCATTTCTTAGGAGATTGAGGTGGCGCGGGGCAGTGCGGGCCATCACCACACGCTTATGCAGCAGCTGCGGGATCAGCGGGAAGAAGACCATGGCTCTCGAGTCGGCGCCCCACGCCCTGTGGCTCAAGGGATGGTCTGCTGGGCCAGGCCTCCTGCTCCTGGGTCTGGGTCCTTGAGGCCTGGCCCACTCTGACGAAGCCCCGCCCCGACCGAGGCCACGCCCCCAGGCCCCGCCCCTGCGGATCTGGGCCCAGACCACTCTTTGGACAATTAGTGGGGTCCTGGCCCCGCCCACCAGGCCCCGCCCCTGCGGATCTGGGCCCTGACCACTCTTTGGACAATTAGTGGGGTCCTGGCCCCGCCCACCTACTGCAGCCACGCCCCAAGCAGAGCTCAGCTTCCAGGCCTGTTCTGCACCCTCACACCCACATCCTGCATTCCTGTGGCCAGTTGGTGCCATCCAATAACCTGTGTCTGTGTGCACACTGTGTCCGAGGACCCCCAGCTCCCCAGTGCGCTTTGGGGGTCCAGTTTGCGGCCATGCCTTGTACTTGATGACCCGGATCCCTTGGTTCTCTGGCTTGATGAGGAGGACTGCCGGCCACTGGGCTGGTTCAGGACGACCTTCAGGTCAGCCCAGGGTGTCCGCAGGGTGGATGAGAGACAGGGGGGATGGGCAGGTTCGCCACAGGTTAGGGACTGAGGTAGGGGTCACACACCACCCTGGGCTCCCCAAGGTGTGGGGTCCGGTCCAGGGAAGGCTCTGCATGGCCCTCACGGTGACGAGGCCTGGATGCAGTGGCCCAGCTCTGCCTTTAAGCAGCCTGGTCTGCTGAGGGGCCAGCAGGCTACATGGTGTGGGGACCCACAGGGACCCACGGGGTCCCCAAAAGGGAAGGGGAAGGACTGAGGCCCTGTGCACTCAGATCCTGTTGCTGCAAGCTGCTGCCCTGAGCTGTTCCCCACACCCACCCCCTTAGGGCAGACTTTACCCCAGGACAACCCACCCAGACAGTCCTGTGTCCAGGGGCCCTCACACACCCCTGAATGAGCAAAGGAATGAGGGACCTGCACCCGAGGGCGGGCTCAGGCCACCCCCACCTCGGGGAGATCCCCGCCCACGCCTGCAGAGGAAAACCCTTTATGAGAGAGACATGGGTGCGTGCCCACCCCCCCTCCTTTCCCAGACTCTCTGAAGGCCACTGTGTTCCCACAGTGTCCCTAATAATCAGACACTCAGGCTGGGAGTCTTCTCACTGTGTTCATTGTTTCTAGGAACATTTCCAGCAGCAATAAGGGGACAGCACTTGGTGTCAGGGGACCGGGACCCTTCCTCAGTTCCCACAAGGGTCACCTGGCTGTCACCCTGGCAGCCGGGGGTCTCCCGTGGGTGGGTCCTGGGCTCAGGGCACAGGGGAGAGTGCAGGACCAAGGTGTCCACCCGGGACTGTGCACGGGTGGGTGGCTGTGATTATCTGCACTGTGTAAATCGTGCAGGTGTGTGTGTCTTGTAAATCGACATCCGGATTGTGTATAAAATCCATCTCAGGCAGAAACCACATGTCCACAAGTTGTGCATCTAACACTGTGCTGATGGGGGCTGTGGCGGAGCTGGAACGTACACATGGGAATGACACGGCCTGTGCCCTGGTGACTGCCTCCGCTGACGCGTGGAGGGACCCAGTGAGCACTGCCCTGTCCCGCGCAGCCCCACCACCCCGCTCCTAGAGCCAGGGCTGAGCACCTTCTTTCACCTGGGGTGTGACGCCGCCCCTTGCAGTCGACTTTCCACCTGACGGGACACACTTGGGGACTGTGGGCTGCTGTCTCCCGAGGGAGTGACCCTGTGACCTGTATGCAGGTGGCTGTCAGGCTCTGGTGGCCAGGATGGCGTCCACAGTGCTCCCGAGGTACGCAGCCCGCACGTCGGTGAAGCCGTGAGCCTGCAGCAGGCTGCGGTACTCGCTCAGGGTGCGCTCCCTGCTCAGGAACAGCACCATCATGGTCAGCGACTGCAGCACGGGGATCAGAGACTGGCACTTCTCGTCCAGCAGCAGCTCCACCACCAGCAGGCCGCCCCCTGTGTACATGAGAGTGGACTCTGGGTTCTGCCCTGGGAAGTGGGGGAGGGGGCCTGAGGGACGCCAGCCCTCATGGGTAGAGGCTGCAGACAGACACCAGCAGGCTGGGGAATCAGACAGGGAGACAGAGGGAAGACAGAGACACACGCAGACACGGAACAACAGAGGGGGAGGCAAGGACACAGGAGACAGAGAGGACAGACAGCGAGATGGGGGGGGGAGGCTGGGGACGGAGGGACGGGGCAGGGCAGGTGCGGGAGGGGTCTTGTGGGGCAGGAGGCCCCAGGCTTTGTCACTGCCCTGCGGGGCCGGGACCATGACACTCGGGGAAACAAGCTCGGGGACAGCTGTCCCAGTGTGCAGTCACTTGTCTCCACATCCTCGAATCAAGAGTGTCCTCTGAGGACACTAAACTGAGCACCACAGTGGGGCTGGCGGACACTTACCAAGACAAAGTTCATTTCTCGTTTCTTAGAAATGAAAGCTACTGACTTTTGGAACACAAACAAACGAGAAGAGTAAGTGCCCTGGCCTCTGTGACCGAGGGCACTTCCTGCTGGCCTGCACAGGGAGACGTCCCTGGTTCTGTGCCCAGTCTCGGCTCCTGACTGGGCTGGGGAACAGGTCTCCAGGGGGGGGGGGGGGCGGCGAGGCAGCCAATCTGTTCTCACATCCCCGTGTCTCTCCCTCCCTCCCCCGTCTCTAAATGTCCATGAAGAAACCTTGTAAACAGTGAAAACAAATATTTAGACGAGGCCGTGGCGGACGCGGCCTCACCTGGTTTGCAGCTGCGGGAGATCCGGCTGAGCAGCTGGTGCACCTTCTCGTCCGGCCAGTTGTGCAGAACTTTGGAGAGGATGTAGAGGTCGGCCTCCGGGAGAGGGTCTCGGAAGAAGTCCCCTGGTGGAACACAAAAGGGGATCGTTCCGTCAGAGACCCCGGAACTGGCTCTCCCCAGGCAGAAGCGGGGCGGCACCGCCTCTGAACTGAAAGGGCAAGGCGGGCCGCTTGTAGTGGGGTGAGTGTCCCCCCAGCACACGCTCCATGTCCTAATGCCAGAACCCGTGGCCATATGGAAACTGTAGCCACATGGAAACATATGGAGCCATATGGTCTGGCAGGTGGGATGAGGGAAGGATCAGAGAGGAGGTGGTCCTGGGTCACGTGGCCCTGCGTCCAGTGACAGTGTCCTGAGAAGGGACAGAAGAGGCGACACAGTGTCAGAGGTCAGCCCGGGGCAGCCCAGATGCCAAGGCACAGACGCACTCACCTGGCATGAAGCTGACCTGCCCCGTCTGCGGTCCGTCCGGTCGGAAATGCGCGGCGTCCTCAATGACCTCTGGCAGGTCCAACACGGTCACCTTCAGCCCCGGGTACTGTCTGGCCAGCTCGTAGGCCAGGGCGCCTGTGCAGCCTGCAGGGGAGAGCACGCCCTTGACCACCTGACCTTCCTGGCACCTAGGGATGCCTGGGTGAGTTTCCAGGTTGGACCGAGGCCAAATCGAGCAACGTTCTGGAACATGCACTGAAGCCAGAGACGTGCAGTAAAGCCAGCTGCGGTGCAGACCTGGCCCGTGCCTTGTGTGGGCCTCGGGGCTTTCCAAGGTCAAGACCGTGTAGGTGAGCAGGAGAGTGAGGCGTGGTCATAGTGTGAGAAGAGAATCCTCAGGGCAAAGTTCTGGAGGTCTGGTAACCACCCAAACTTTTTCTTGTTTGTGAACACAGACGTGATGGCTGCTGCTTCAGCAGCCAGTCTGGGCCACGAGGAGGAAGGCTGTGCAGGGAGAATGGGGACAAGCAAGCTGGCAGCTCAGGAGTCCTTGGGGTGTTTTCAAGAGAGAAGCCCATGTTGCGGTCTCATGAGCACATCAGCCACCCGCCGTGTGACCCAGGGAAAGATGTGCACACAGCCAGGGACACAGAGTGCCTGGGGGGTGTGGTGGGGAGTGTGCGCACCTCCCAGGTCGCAGGCGGAGGTGAACCGAGACAGGTCGAAGGCCGTGGCCACCTGGCGAACCGCCACCTTCGTGTAGCCGTGCATGGCCGCCATGAACTGCAGCTTCCTCTCCTGGGTCTGGTAGAACAATCCCTGAGGCAGAGCAGGGCGTGAGCAGGCAGGCCAGGGCCGGGGGCCCTGCACGCCGGCGGCACCCCCAGCGGGCAGTGCCTCCCCGTGCCTGTCCGTCTGTCTTGTGACTGCGGGTCCCTGTCCAGGCCTTGTTGCTCTCTGCCTTCTGCCTCGCTCTGTGTGCCCTTCTCCCCCGCGCCGTCCCTCCCGCAGCGGACGCCATCAGGACTGGTGACGTTCGAAGGCCCATGCTCAGTGGCTGCCGAGTTTCGTGCAGCAATAGGATGGACACGGATCCCGCCCCCTCAGATCCTTTCCCCAAACCCATGCGTGGAAGGAACATCTCTGGGAGGTCACCTCGTAGGATTCTTCCCCGGCTGTTCCCAGAACCCTCTGAAACTGGACAGCACCCTCCTGGACAGCGAAGTCCAGGTGGGAGTAGAAGGGCCAGATGAGGTCCCTTTGGAACAGGACGAAGCTGTGGAGGGAGTACTCGCCGTCGGACAGCAGGTACAGGCTGGCCAGCTGCGTGTTGCTGTAACCTGAAGTGACAGGTGAGGTCCTCACAGTGACGATGCAGCTGGCCCTCCCCCACGGGACCACAGCTGGGTGCCACAGGGAATGAGCACAAACGCCACCCGCCAGACGACTGCTCACCACACGCTGGCAGGCGGCTGCAGAGGGAGCCGGCCATGGGGGGCGCACGCAGGTGCCGATGGGGGGGGGTTCCCCCAAGGGCCCTGGATGGGCACTGAGCCTGCTGCACTCCTTCCTTCAGTCTGCTGTCTGTCCCTCCGTCCCTCCATCCATGCATCTGTCCATCATCCATCAGCCCATCCATCCATCTATCTGTCCATCTATCCATCTATCTTCCCATCCATCCATCCATGTACGACTTTCCATCCATCCGTCCACTCAACACCCTCTCTACCCATCCATCCATCATCCACCCACCCACCACGCATCCATCCGCCTGTCCACTGTGTCCCTCTGTCCATCCATCTACCTATCTACCATCTCTCCTCCTCCCTCTCACCTGTCCGTCCAGATAACCCGTGTCTGTGTCGTGCACAGGGAAATGTCCGGTTTGTTCTGTGTCTCTGGAGACCCCTGACCGAGACGGCCCCCAGAGACCAGACACATAAGGAGGCATTCTCCTCACGTGCGCGTGTGCTAACACCCACACGCGCCTTCTCCTTTCTCCCCCCCATCCTCTGTCCCACCGTCTGGGGAGCAGCCCGGCTTCTGAGGGCAGAGGGACAGCGGGTCCCGTCGTCCCTGCCTCGGCTCCCAGACCCCGTTCCCTCGGTGACGTGCTTCTGCCTCTGTGACTCTCCGAGAAACTCCTCCCGGTCCCCTTACCTCTCTCCGTCTTGTCCAGCAGTCCCAGGGCTACACAGACGTCCAGCAGCTGTCCAGTTCCTATCTCTGAGGCACCGGTTTTCCTGGCAATGTCCTCCGCACGCAGGGGGCCTTCATCTCTCAGTAAGTCGAACACCTTCATGTTGCAAGCTGTGACCAGGACCTGTGCGGGAGCGGCAGCTGCAGTTAGACTTGGCATGTGGCTCATCGAGAGCTCTTCACCCCCACAAAGTGCAAAGTGGGAGGTCCGAACAGGCCAGATCGTGCCAGTTGTCAGTGGGACTCTCTTCCCCACGGAGGAGAGGGTTGAGCCACTAGCTGGTACCCATCCTGCACCAGGTGTTTGTTGGCAATCAGTGCCTACCCACCAGGGAGGCTGTCCGTGGGAGAAAACCCACATGCAGCTGCAATGGGCTGCAACCGGCTGAGTCGGGACCACCGAGACCCAGCCGGTGAAGCCCCGAGAGCAGCAGCTCCAAATGGGACTCGGCCTGGACACAGAGGTCCAGTCCCGGGTGGACCAGTTCCCTACACTTCTCAGGATGCATGCCCTCATGTGGCTTTGAGAATGGCCACTCAAGCTCTGTCTTTGCCACAGACAACCCCCTGTGGCCGCTGAGGCATTTCCATAAATGCCAGCTGTATGGAGAAGGAACAAACAGGATAGACCAGGCAGGTCACCTCCACTCCCAGACCCCCTGAGGCATTCCTGCTTGGTCAGCAGGCCTGGCCACTGGCAGGCCTTGGAGATGTGAGGTAAGCAGTAGGCGAGTGGGTGCATGGACGAAGAGGAAGGTGAACAGGTGACAGACGAACACAGGGATGGACGGTTGCATAGATGGGCAGTCAATGACTGATACACAGGTGAAAAGACATGACAGACACATGGATGGATGGATACAAGGATGGAAGGATGGATGGACAAATTGATGGATAAACAGATAGATGGAAGAATGAATGGAGGGAGGCAGAGATGGAAGGAAGGACAGAAAGACATGGTGGATGGGTGGATGATGGATGGATGGATGGATGGGTGGGTGGATGGGTGGATGGATGGTGGATGGATGGTGGATGGATGGATGGATGGTGGATGGATGGATGGATGGTGGATGGATGGATGGTGGGTGGATGGATAGATGGTGGATGGGTGGGTGGGTGGATGGTGGATGGATGGATGGGTGGGTGGATGGATGGATGGTGGATGGATGGATGGGTGGATGGGTGGATGGATTGGTGGATGGGTGGATGGATGGATGGATGGTGGATGGACAGATGGGTGGATGGGTGGATGGGTGGATGGACAGATGGGTGGATGGGTGGATGGATAGATGGATGGATGGGTGGATGGATGGGTGGATGGATGGATGGTTGGATGGATGGATGGAAGGATGAATGTGTGGATGTTGGATAGATGGATGGATGGGTGGATGGATGGATGGTGGATGGGTGGAAGGATGGATGGGTGGATGTTGGATAGATAGATGGATGGATGGGTGGATGGATGGATGGTGGATGGGTGAAGGATGGATGGGTGGATGGATAGATGAAGGCATGGATGGAGGAATGATAAGACAAAAGGAGGAAGGGTGGGAGAGAAGGAAGGGTAGGCAGACATGGGTAGATGGATGGACAGAAGTGGTAGACAGATGGGCAGATGGAAAAGCGGATCTCGGATGGACAGCCGATGGGTGAAGGAGGTCAAGGCCGCCTGCAGGCGCCGGGGCGCAGCTGGAACCTGTGATGCGAGCAGGTGCGGCCGAGCGCTGACTGAATTCCTCTTTTCAGGCAAATGAGAGAACGTGAGGTCCAACCCAGCACTCCCCCTTTCCTTCCTACCACAGCAAGTCCCCTGTGACCTTGAGTGCACAGGAGAGGAGAAGGGACGGAGAGTTGAGCGGGGCGGGCCTCAGTCCCGCAGCCTGAGCGCCCCCACCCGGCCCCCTCCCTCCCCAAGAGCCTGCTAGCAAATGGCGGAGAACCTAGCACACTCTGCTGGTCCCCGAGGTCCCCACGTCTGTCTGCAGCCACTGAGTGGCAGCAGGTCACCAGCAAGGACACTCTTAGGGGCTGCGCTGTGGCTCCAAAAAGGTGTGCTGAAGTCCTCACCCCGCTACCTGGGACTCAGGTGCCCTTAGTGAAGGATCTGAGGGGAGGGGGTCGTCCGGGGTCAGGTGGCCCTGCGTCCAGTGACAGTGTGCTTAGAAGAGGCAGAAGAGGAGACCAGACCCAGAGGAGAAGCCACGTGGAGACGGAAGCAGAGGAGAGAGAGATGCGGCCATCGGCCCGGGGACGCCTGCAGCCCCCGGAGCTGGAAGAGGGGGAAGGCCCCTCCCTGGAGCCTGTGCAGGGAGCGCAGCCCTGGGACCCCTGGGCCTGGGACGCCTGGTCTCCAGGACGGAGATGGGATGAATTGCTGCTGCTGTTTCCAGCCCCTAGTCACAGCCACCCCGCACGCGCAGCCGGTTACCTTGGATACTTTGTAGCCATCTATCAGTTCCAGAATCGCAGTTGGAGGCACGCTCTCCACGGTGGGTTCCTGGTCTGCGTCCTCCCTGTCCTTCCTGCCCTGAGCCTGGGGATGGGCGCGGCCCCCCTGAGCCCCTCCCTGGCTGGGGCCTCCGCCCTCCTGGTCACTGAGGTCCTCAAAGGTGTCCACGGCGGGGATGGAGTCGTGTTTGACCCGGTGCAGGCCCTCGGGGCGTGGCAGACAGTACAGGTCAGCCAGCTCCTGGCAGAAGCGGTTCAGGGGGAAGCCCACAACGTTGAGGAAGTCCCCGTGGATGGATTCCACCAGCATGCCGCCCAGGGCCTGGATGCCGTAGCCTCCAGCTTTGTCCCTGTGAGGGGTGGGAGGGGCCGGACGAAGGAGGGAGGGGAGAAGGGGAGACATCAGGGGGCTTACCCAGGGGGCTCGGGGCCAAGCACCACCGCCAGGGTTTCGTGGAAACCACACAACTACAGGCAGCGCGAGCCCAGCGGGATGGCTGAGACGTCCCTGCCCCTCAGCCGGCCCCAGCCCTACAGGGCGCCCTCCATCACCCCGAGCCCTGCCCGCCCGCACTGACGAGGTGGAGCCGGTGTCCCCGCTGTGATGCTGGCGTCCCACCCACCCCGGGACGCGGCCACCTGGGGGGGGGGTTGCAGGAAGGAGTCCAGCGTGGCTGGGCTCCGCTGCTGCCGGGGTCCGGGCCCCCACGCGTCACTTGGACCTGGCCCGGACCCGGGTCCTCCTGGTGGCTGCGTCGCCCCTTTATGGGGCGCGGGGGCCCTGCAGCTCCTTGCTGCACCCGGACCGAGCCCCCAGGACTGCTGTGTCCCGCTCCTTCCCCTTTCTGCACCCAGACTTGCGTCCCCCAGGACAGGACGGGACCCTTGTGTTTAGGGCATGAAGACCACTCCCTGCGTGAACTGCAGGCAACAGCGGCCCTAGGACGACGTCCCTCTGGCCAGTGTCCCCAGGGAGGGAAAGCAGGTGTGTCTGGCGTCCGCCCAGTGCCTGAGCCGCAGGACGGACTGGGAGACCGGCCGCCTGCGGCCCCATCTGCCCTGGCCGCAGTCCCCAGGGTGGACGTGGGGGGCACTCACATGGGCTCCCCGCTGTGGATGTAGTCCCACAGCATCTCCTCTGACAGCTGCGAGAACCTCACGCGTGTCTCCTGGTAGAACTCCGAGATGTCCGTGTGCAGCCCGCCGCCTGCAAGGGGTCGGCCCTGAGGACACGTCCCCTCCGCATCCAGACATGGCACTCCGAGGGGCTCAGAGGCAACCCCAGACCGCACCGTCACCCCAACTTCCCAGGCAGGGATTCTGTGGGAGGGCGCTGGAGCTGCCCCCGGTGGCCCTGGGCACCCAGAGTCCCTGGCATCCTCCATGATCCCGAGGTGGAAGCAGGGATGACGTGGTACCTTGGTTGGAGCAGTGGATGATGGCTACCCCCGTGAACACACTGTGCTCCTTCCCGTTCAGCCTGTAATAGAAGTCACCCCCGTGGGCAAGGGAAGAAGCAGGACCCGTGTCCCCAGGAACAGGGGACACTGCGCCCCAGGGCCAGGACCCCCTTCCCACTATTTGCAACCCTATGTCCGCCCATCGTCCTGGCCTGCAGGTCTCCAAGGGTCCTTCCCAAACAGCCGGATGGAGGAGCGGGCAGGGGCGGGGCCACGCTCTCGGAGTGGGTCGCAGCCCTGGGTGTCGCTTGCAGGACCGACCCACCGCCCAGGTCACCGGGGAGCACACTGACCCCCAGGAGTGGCGGGCCGGGCAGGGAAAACCCAGGCGGAACCACTCTGGGCAGGTGCCTCGGAGGCTGTGTTTGCTCCCCCAGGGGGAGGGGGACGCAGGACCACGGGACCTGTCGGGAAGGCCCGGGGCCCAGACTGGAGCCCGGGCTCAGACCTGCTGGGCTGTGGGAAAGCCGGAAAAGGGAGGGCGTCCGAGGGACACCCCGCTGCTCAGTGGGATGAGTAGGGATCAGAACGAAGGCCACGACCCCATGGATTTCTGCTCCAGTGGCATTTGTGTGGAACTAACGCAGCTTAAGTTCAAGGATGCCGGGTCTGTCCTCTGCTCTGACCGGGAAGGCTGACGGGCGAGGTTGTGCATTCACCCACAAGGACCGAAGCCCCGCCCCACACGCTCTCTATGCGCGCAGGTGCCCGGGACGTGGGCCATCGGGACCCACCGGGACAGCATGCTGTAGGCGTCTGCCTTGTCCACGGGCTTCTCCAGGATCAGCCCCTCCAGCGCCTGCGAGGGAGAGACAAGGCCACGTCCACGCCCCGAGCCCGGCCTGCAGAGGCCACCATGTCCACGTATGACACTCTTTCCTACAGTTCCAGGTGAGAGTCACCCGGGACACGTAAACCCTGCTGCAGGCCTAGGGGTGGACTCACCACGATGGTGTCGGCTCCGATGAGGACGTCAGGGGCCCGCAGGTCTTTCTGCAAGAATCCAAACCCAGCTTCAGGAAGGACGCGGGTCTGTGGATTGGTGCGTGCAAGCAGCTTCCCTGCTGGTCCCTGGGCTGACTATGGAGAGCAAGGCCTGCGTGGCTCCTGGTGCTGGGCGGGGACGGGAGTGTGTCCCACCTCGTCCCTGGGGCCCACTGACACAGGAGCCTTCCCCTCAGAACACCGGTCTCTCAGGACTCACTCACTTGTACCACTGCTCACAGTAGGACCTACAGTGCACTTAGTATCCCAGCTGCCATGGGATGTGATTGCAACGTCTAGTGATAAGTTACATTAATTCTGTGCAGTGGAAGAAACCATTGTATTCATTACAGGAAGGTATTACGCAGTAACACATAGTAATAGATACATTCACATAAATGATACTGTTGTAGGACATACCAACAAAGTAACTCATCATCTATATTCTAGAAATGATACCATTAGCTACGATGGTGTGTTATAAAGTTACGCATGGTAACGGACAAGTAACATTAACTCTAAATTGTAAAGGACACCTTTAGCTCCTGAGGACAGTCCCCTCTGTGGTAACAAAGCAATAGACTGGCTACGTTAACTCTTGTTGACAAGCTGTACTACAAAAACGCTGCATGAGTGTAACAGCCCGGTCCTCTGCGACACTCAGCCGTGGATAAGCGGTGTTACTGCCCACTCATGTGGACGTGGAAGGAACACGTCGACTCAAAACCTGGCCCCCCAACCGCCTCTCCCAAAGCCCACGTGTCCCGAGTGGCAGAAGCAGAGCCCTTGCCTGGTGCATCCTCCTGGCCACCTCCAGAGCCTTCTGCTTGGCCGTTTCCATGGCGTATGCGTAAGGGGTGGGGAACGAGGCTTTACTGAGCTGCTCTTTGAACCTGGAAGGAACCACCTCGAACCTGAGCCCCTGCAATGGGAGAAGGGGACAATGAGAGGGTGAGGATCACAGGAATGTCCGACAGAGTCGGGTTGGGTCACGGCCAGTGTGGGCTCTCAGTTCCTGTGACAGACACTGAACTTTCCCCAAGGGTCAGATGCCAGGTGGCCGAGACTGTAGACCTACAGGGAAGACCTGTGTATTGACTGAGGTGCTGGGCACAAAGATCCGCAGGGTCAAACGGCTCCCAGACAGCTCCAAAGTCCTGTGTTCCACCCCCACAGGGGGCCAGCGACTGGAAATATCCTGCCTGCAAGAACTGCAAAGGACAGAAATGCTGACCAGGCAGGACAGTCCCTGGGAGAAGGTGGTCACGGGCACTGACACCGAGGGTCCGCACTGTGGACTCTGACCACAGAGGGTCAGCAGCCCCTCTCCTTGGCAGCCCTACAGAGCACCTACATGGCTCTGGCCCTCCCCCTCGGCCAGCAGCCCCAGGACAGAGGCAGCTGGGGACCCTGACCTGGCTCGCCCTGTCACCTCAGCCAGGACACAGGTTGCCAGAACGTGAAGCCCGGCCTGAAGGCCCTGACCCCAGATCGCATAGGCTCCGGCTCAAGCCCTACCGCCCGGGTCTCCAAGTCTCGGCCTGAAGACTCTGGACCTCACACTTCGTCACCAGCCGCCAACTGCCCGCCCCCCGAGCCCGCAATCACCGGGCCCGGGTCACTTGGCGCACCCGCTGCCAGCAGGCCAAGGTCCCGAGGCTGCAGGGTCACTAGGTTTCCGGATCGGTAACCCCCTCCTCGCTCCCTGAAACCCGACCCTGGCCGGTCCCAGACATTTACCGCGTTGCTCAGGATCTCCTGGCGCCGCGGGGAGGCGCTGGCCAACACCACGCGCTTATCCAGCAGCTTCCGGATCACCGGGTACAACACCATCGCCGCGGGCCGGGTCCCCGTGCACAGGAAGCAGCCAACAAGTGCTCAGCCCCGCAGACAGCGCACAGTCGCCGGAGCCCCGCCCAGGATAAAACTCCGCCTCGGCCGACCTCGGTGCCCGGGACTGAGCGGAACCGCTCCCGAGCCAGCTCCGCCCCCAACGGACGTTTAAAAGGCCCCGCCCACCCTCCCCGCGGTGCCACGCCCCCGATCCTAGCCCGGTCCCTTCCCCGGCCTAGCGTTGAACAAGGCCCCGCCCCTCAGAAGCTCCGCCCGCGACCTGACGCAAGTGGAGCCCCGCCCCCGAAGCTCGCCCCGCCCCCGCCGGGCGGAGGTTCTCGCAGCGTGGAGTCGTTTGTGATGCGTGAATGGAGGCCCGAAGATCGGACTTGGCGTGGGCGCAGTAGGGGCGCGGAGATGGGGATCCCCATGCGCGCCATGGGGCGCGCGCAGACGGCAGGAATATATCTCCAGGTGGCCAAGGGATGGATGATGGACGGATAGACGCGCACGACGTCGCCGGCGAAGGCGGGTTTCTGGACGTAATTGCAGTGACGTCAGCATCGGGGGACGGTAGGGGCGGGAGTGGGGAGCGGGGCCGGAGCAGCCTGGCTTCCGAGCACCAGATGGCAGCACCTGCTCTCCAAGCTGTGATCAAGGAGTCGCCACCTGCTCCCTGCGGACAGAATCACTGCCTCTTGAGAACCGCGTGTTGGGGATAGATAGGCAGATGTGTGAGAAAGAGAGAGAGAGAGAGGAATAGAGATATTCTCGCTGTATAGATAGGTGATAAATGCACAGATAAAAAATGATTGGTAAACGGACAGAGAATGATGGATAATGGTAGATATTCAGGACAAAGAGGTAGACAAATAATATAATACACAGACGACACAGGTACCGGATACAAACACAGACAAACTCTGTTATTCGAAGGCAGGTTCTCAACCTGCGGGATTCCATGCGGGCCCCCTCCCGGGAGACCCAACCCGTTACTCAACGTCCAGCTCTGATCCCCATTTGGCCTCACTGGGCTCAGCCCACGTGTTTGGGGAGTCAACTCCCGATTGGTTGAGGTTTGTGTCTCCCTCAAAGGTCAGAAATAATCCTAATAAATTATTATCAAATATGTCATGAACACTCACTACCTTTAATCATTCATATTTAATTATCATTAACTATCTGTTCATATTACTCATTAATATTTCCTCTTTGTTTTAGATTTTTATTTATTTTCAGAGAGAGGGGAAGGGAGGGAGAAAGAGAGGGAAACATCAATGTGTGGTTGCCTCTCAAGCGCCCCCTACTGGGGACCTGGCCCAAAACCCAGGCATGTGCCCTGACTGGGAATCAAACCAGCGGCCCTTTGGTTTGTAGGCTTGTGTTCAATCCACTGAACCACACGAGCCAGGACAGTATGTCATAATAACTGTTATTCTATCACTCATTCAAGGGTACACGCAGCCCCATTACAAACTGTTTGAATCATCTCTGGGTATCGCCCAGGACTCTCTGCAAAGGTTGGGGTTAAGGTGTGAGTACCTCTTTCTCAGTCGCCAGAGGAAGGGTGTCCAGGGGGCCCTCTTTGTCAACTGACCTTGAGCGCACCCCTCTCCCTTCTCCATGGGCACCGAAGGCCTCTGTTCGTTTTCATCGGGACGAAGACATTTCAAAGGCAAACTTGAAAACTGTTTTTGAAGGGCCGACCTCTGAGAACCCAGCCCCTGGTCATTTCTGCAAAAACCGTGAAAGCAGTCAGTGGGGTCACCTCCTGAGCAAGTCGCTATCATAGCGGACCCCAAAGTCACCTGGTTCTGTTCACAAAAACAGGTGGTTTACTGGGTGACAGTTTAGCTGTCTGGGCGGATGGTCAAGTAAAACAGTGAGTTCGCATACCCTCATCATAACCTTCCCATCCTGTCCACATCCTGTGTTCCTGTGGCCCGTTGGTCCCAACTGACAACCTAGGTCTGTCTGCACACTGTGTCCGAGGACCCCCAGCTCCCCAGTGCGCTTTGGGGGTCCAGTTTGCGGCCATGCCTTGTACTTGATGACCCGGATCCCTTGGTTCTCCGGCTTGATGAGGAGGACTTCGGGCCACTGGGCTGGTTCAGGACGACCTTCAGGTCAGCCCAGGGTGTCCGCAGGGTGGGTGAGAGACAGGGGGGATGGGCAGGTTCGCCGCAGGTTAGGGACTGAGGTAGGGGACACACACCCACCCTGGGCTCTCCAAGGCCCAGGGTCAGGTCAGAGTCCAATCCTGGCTGTGGCACTAAGCAACTCCGGGACCCGGGGTCAGGCATTTCTATGCCTCCCATTGCTCCTGTGAAAAGCGGCCCCAATGCCTGCCTCGTTTTAGTGGGATAAAGGGGACCGCCTGTGTGACAAGCTGCGTGCACCCCATGCACCAGGTCCTACCGTTGTTCCCCACTTGGGGGAGGGGATTTATTTGGGGGTCCCCTATACCTGTCATCTTCAGCAAGAAACCCCCTCCTGACCCTTCGCTCCCGTTTATTTCCACAGCAGTTGTGTTCTAACAGCAGGCAAGACTGTTTTTTGTTTGTTTGTTTGTTTGTTTATTTTTTGCATCAGAGAATCACAGACACGTCCCAAGACAGATTAGAAAACACAATGTTAAAAAGTCGGGGACCAGGCTTGCGGCTCTTGCACAGGCCTCGGGAGCCGGGGCTGATTTCTGCGTTGGCAGACGGTGTTCTGGAGGCTTGGCAAGTCTGAAGCTGCCCTTGTCCGTGCCGTCTGCAGGAAGAGTCGGGAGGTGGGACGGAAGACAGGGCCGTGGCCCAGTGGGACAGCAGGTAGGGGTCATGGTGATATTTTGACAGGACCTTGGGGGAGGCTGAGGTCAAATTGTGGCCAGCGTACACTGATTGAGATGCTGTCTGCAGCTTTCTGTATAACAACCACCGTAGTGTGGATGGAAATGTGGTTACCCCGCCCTGATAATGGCAGACAGGTGGGTGCCACGGCATCATGAGCCCCCACAGCATCGTGGCAATAAGAAGCCAGCAGGAGCCACAGCAGACGTGGCAGGGAAGCCGGTCACCAAAGCACAAGCCCTGTAGGGTTCCGCTCCCAGGAGGGCCCTGGAACCGAGGGATTCACAGAGACGGGGCGTCGGGGGCTGGGGCGGGCAGTGGGCACTCAGTGTGTGATGTGGACAGAGCTTCCATGCAGGGCAGTGACAAAGTTCCAGAGATGACGGTGGTGGGGACGGCAGCACACCATGTGGGTGTGACTCATGCCGCTGAGCTGTGCCCCGCCAAAGGGGTAAGAGGGCAGATGGGGTGTCGTGTGTGTTTGAGCACACTCCAAACAAAAATCAGAAGGAAGTAGAAAACAGCAAAAACAAAAACATAAACCAGGAGTCTGGGGAAGGTTTGCTTCTTCCAGATCCAGCAGCTGTGAATGGAGATGGTCCCGGCAGTCCCCAAGCCGGTCACCCTGGGTCGGGCAAGGCCTTCCTGACACGGTCTCCAACACACCAGGTGTATTTCTGTTTTTATTACTTTTAGTACAGAACCACATCATGAAATGCCGTACCCCATTCACCCACACGGGACTCTTCTCTGTGACTACCATTCTGCTGTTTTTCCTTCCAAGTCACCGAAATAGGTGTGTATGCAAAAATGCATGGGTATGTGTGTGTGTGTCAGGCACGTACATAAGCATTCACGCGTGCGTGCATGCCTGGATGCATGAACGGTGTCTGCGTGCCCTTGCACTGGCTCTTGATTTTTAGGGGGCTGCCTGGAGGTGGTGGGAGGGTTCCCGTGTGAGGGAGAGGGGCTCAGGCGTTCCAGAGAGAGGGACACGTCCACCCTGTGCACTGGGAACAATGCAGAGTGTCATCAGGGTGCTCCTTGTCCCAGGGCTTGTTCGGTCCTTGCGATAGAACGGCCATGGCTTCCGTCACGTGCACGTACAGGTGCCCTCTCGGTTGGTCCCCGGGGTGCCGAGCAGGTGCACGGTCGGAGTGCGTCTGTGGACAAACACACACACCGCGTTGTGGGCATTTGTAACGCGGACCGAGGCTGCCTGGCATCTTGGGTCGGAGGACAGACTCCGACGGACAGACTGCCTGCCACCAGAAGCCGCAGCACCTCAGTGGGGCACCCCAGACACCCTGCGTGTGTCCAGGGACCTCGGCGGCACCCGGAGGCCGATGGGGGCGGTGTTGGCCGCCCAACTGCCCCCCGGGCTTCAGGACAAAATGACAATGGAACTCCTGCTGAGGAAATGCTGCCTTGAGCCTGAGTGCGTCAGTCCGCGCTGGCCACCGGGAGCTAGCGTCCACTCCGGGGACGTTCTGACCAGAGTAGACGGGTGTACTCCAAACTCTGGCTGTGGGCCGATCACCTGTGTCCCACCTTTTCCATTCCACGCAGGCGGTTTGAGGTTTCTCACAGATTTTGTTTTTTTGCACCCGATGAGTGAGGATCCCTCCCGGCACACGGGTGTGTCGCCGTGTCGGTGGACCAGGGTCGGTGGCCCAGTTCTGGTTGAGTTGGTGGTGCATTCCAGGGTTTCGGTGGGGGAGGGTCCCCTTGTGGAGGATGGGGGTCCCAGCCTTTTTTGAGTCACCTGCGTCCATTGAAGCCCTATCCTAGGTCCGTCATCACCTTGCAGGCCCGTGGATATTCAGGGCCGATGGGCTTGGACAGCATCTCGAAAGGGGACGTCCCAGGTGCAGCGGACGCTGGGAGCGATGGCCCTGTGTATCCGTGGCCTGGGGAGCGCTGGGCTGAGGGGACCCTGAGACCCACTCCCAGGTCCCCAAGGTGGGCAGAGGGCCAAGACAGCACGTGGGTGGGTTCTAGCTGCGGACACAGGTGGGGGTCTGCAGCCCCCGCAGGGCCGGTGTCAGGGTCCACAGTTCACACACATTCAGGCGGACCGAGAATCCGGCGGGCCCCCTCACTCCTCCGAGCCGCCGTCTGTGTGGAGGGTCCCCCACGGGCCTTGTACAGCCTTCACCTGACTCCACAGTGGCCGCCGTGCCCTGCCGAGCGCCTGCGTCCCAGGAGGCAGGTCCCCAGGGAGCCAGCACCGGGCTGGGTGGGCCTTCATCTCCCGTCCATAGGTTAATGCTTTCTACGTGCTGGAGTCCTGGCCACGGAACCTGGCGTGGCTTCAACACGCGGGCTGGTGCTGGGGTGGCCGTAACAAGTGCCCACGAACTTGGGCCACGAAACACCGAGAATTCATTCTCTCCGTCCTGGAGACCAGGCGCCTGAGGTCCAGGCGTCCCCGGGCTATTGGCCACGTCCCTCCCGTCTCTGCCTCTGTCTCCACGTGGCTTCTCCTCCGAGTCTGCGTCTCCTCGTCTGTCCCTTCTCAGGACACTGTCACTCGATGCGGGGTCATCCTCACCCAGCAGGTCACATTCTGAGGTCCCGGCGGGACACGGATTTGGGGGAGCACAGGATTCACCTCCGTACACTTGTGTCTGTTTTCTTCCAAAGCAGTGGGGGCAGGAAGGGAGGTGCGGAATCTCCATCAGCCACTGGGCCCCCCAATCTCACCACCTGATGGCCCCTCCCAGCCCTCGCCTGGCAGGCTCAGGTCTCTCCCCCTGTCTGGTGCCTTTCCTGCGATGTGCAAAGTGCCAGAACTCTGCGGGTTTGGGCAAATCCCCGGCTCCGAGGACCTGCGGTTTTGGCTGCCTGGATGCCCCAGGGCTGGCGGCCCCTGGGTTCCAGAAGCGGCCCAGGCCTCAAGGCCGGTTCCAGTGGATCCCGGTGCGGGAAGTCTTGCACCAAACTGGCCAGTGGGCACCAAGGGGCTTGGCGGACACTGCTCCACTGGGCTCGTGTGGTCAGGTGCCTTCTCCTTGCAAAATGCCATGGGTCAGCCTGGGTGCTTGCACGTGGACAAACCACCTCAGACCTGGGGGTCTCTGTCCGTGGCTCAGGGTTCTCAGCAGGGCGCTGCCCCCAAAGTGTCCTGGGGTGCACCCTGCAGCCCAGGTCGGTCACTGTCCTCACACGGCCACTTCAGCCCCTGCTCATGCCCCTGGAGGCCCTCGGCCATCGGGGCCTGACCCACCCCACCTGGTCGCCCTTGCTTCCTGCGTGAGACCACACGGCTGCGGAGCCCCCCGCCCCCGCCCGGCTCACGTGCGGGGCGGGGAACTTGCAGAGCACAGTGACGCCTCTCCACGGTGGTCTGTTTGCATCCCAGTGCCTGAGTGACCACTGGGACACGTGGACCACGTCCAGGGCACGTCAGGGCGGGGCGTCTGAGACCGGGCAGGCCCAGACCACGGGGTGGGTGGGAGGCCCCGGCAGGACAAGCAGGGGCTGATGGGGACACAGCAGGGGCTGGCCGACCACTGGGGGGGGGGGGCTGCCCTGGCCGCCAACCTCAGGAGCAGGGACCCAGTCTGCCTTGCATATTGCCAGCGTCTCCCCCAAAACCAAACCCTGCTGTCTGCCTGCGCCCCGGCTCCGCCCGCGGGCCAGGGCCGCTGCCCCGATGCTGGGAGTCACCCCTGCGGCAGCGTGGGGACCCTTCCCGGTGCCTTCACGATGGAGGCGGCAGCGCCAGGAAGGAAACCTCGGACCTCCCGGCCGCCCCCCTCTCTGGCCCGGCTCAGAACACGCTCTCCTGCCTCTGCAGGAAGGGGCGGGCGGCGGCGGCGTCGGGCCCGTCGGCGGGGCCGGTGGACAGCGTCCGGGCGGAGAAGAGGCTGTCGCGGCGCGCGTCCGCGGGGCGGGGCGGCGGCGGGCCGGAGCGCAGGTAGTCGCGCAGGCGCATCTGGAACTCCCTGGACGCGAAGTAGTACACAAAAGGGTCGAGGCAGTTGTTGAGGCAGCTGAGGCAGAGCGTGAGCTTGTACACGTGGTAGTAGCTGGTGCCCAGGAAGAGGCGGCCCACCATGTGCGCCAGCAGCACGAAGTTGTTGGGCGCGAAGCAGGTGACGAAGGCCAGCAGCACCACGGCCGCCAGCCCCACCGCGCGCCGCCGCTGCGCGTGGCCCTGCGGGTCCGGCGTGCGCAGCAGCTGCAGGATGGTGGCCGTGTAGCAGGCCACGGTGATCAGGAAGGGCACGAGGAAGAGCACCATGAAGAGCGTGAAGAGGAAGATGGCCCACATGGCCACGCTGGGCAGCATGGTGGACTTGAGCACGTCGAAGCAGGTGACGATGCCCAGTTCCTCCACGGCGTAGGTGAGGTCGGTGCGCGCCAGCGGGGACAGGGCGCCCAGCAGGAGCACCCACATGCCCAGGCAGGCGGCCAGGGCGTAGCGCCGCCGCCGCCAGGGCGCGGAGGCCAGCGGGTACACCACGCCCAGGAAGCGGTCCACGCTGATGCAGGTCATGGTGAGGATGGAGGAGTACATGTTGGAGTAGAAGACCAGCGTGACGCCGGTGCACAGCTGCGTGCCGAACACCCAGTGGTTGCCGTTGCAGTGGTAGGCGATCTGGAAGGGGAGCACGGCGGCCAGCATCAGGTCCGTGACGCTCAGGTTGATCATGAAGATGATGGACGGGGACCGCGGCCCGATGTGGCGGCAGAGCACCCACAGCGAGAACAGGTTGCCGGGGATGCTGATCAGCGCCACCAGCGAGTACACCACGGGCAGCGCCACCGCGATGGCCGGGTTCTTCAGCATCAGAATGGTGGCGTTGTCCGGGCGCGTCATGTTGATGTCCATCCTGCCGGGCGCCCCTCGGGGGCTCGGGGACGGTCTGGAAGGCAAAGGGCACAAGGGTGAGAGGGGGACAGAAGGGGGTGGCCTGCTCCTGGATGGCCCTGCATTCCGATGCACTGAGTGCCCTGGATGCAGCCAGTCCTGACTTCCTTCCCTGCTCCCCTTCCTCGTCTCAGGGAGCAGGCATGCCACCATCTCTGCCGGGGAACTTCCTCAGACTGCTCGCCACCCACTCATCGCAGGCCTGGTAAACCCCTTTCTTCTCGGAAGCCCGAGGACTGTGTTCTGTGAGGCACGGTGCAGTGGCAGCCACGTTGGGGCCGTGAGGATTCCGGCACTGCAACCGTTACCAAGTGATAAGTTCACCAAGGGACTCATCCTGCAAGTGTCTAGTAGACACGCTGTTTCTCTCAGATTTTGCTGGGAGCCGGTGCTGTCATTTGCCTGATGTCCCACGGGGGCCACTGTGCTATCCGCATGATAGTCCCAGGAGGTTCCTTATCCCAACACCCTGCGCCTGGCTTCCTGCTTTCTCCTGCCCTTTGGGGTGCCCACGGTGGGGGGGGGCTGCTCATTAAGGGTGGGGGCCACTGAGACATTATCCCTGGCCCTCCCCTTCACCTGTCCCCCGCGGGACACTCCAAGGCAGTGAAGCCAGTGAGCACAGCCGGAGGGAATGCACTATCGTAGCTTCAAGGCGACCCTCAGACACACCGTGTGTACGGCAAGCTTTATCTGCCTGGCGTGGCTGTGAAGCCCCAGCGCCCATCAGCCTCCCGAAAAGCGCACAGATACTCAGGCCCGGAAACCCCCTGAGGACGGGCTGGGGGTCCCATCACCCCCTCTCCAGGGCAGCATGGAACGTGCCAGGGCCGCCCCTACAGGAAGGGACCCGGGCTCGTTGTGTTCCGTAAATACCAGCGTTTCCCTCGGTTTAAAAAGTCTGGGGCACCCATTTCCTCACTCATGGTAGACTCTGATTTCTCTCTGTTTGAACGGCGGGGAGGTGGCATGCGGGCGGCGGGGCAAACAGCCTAACCACGCAACGTAAGAAACAAATAACGAAATAAAAGCAAGGCCTGTGTGTTTTCCTCCTGCCCAAGAAGATGCCTGCGTGGTAGTCGCCTGGGCGGGGACAGTTTGTGAGGCTGGAGGGCACACGTTCAGGACGCATTGGACCTGGAGCTGAGAATCTCTGCTATACCCAGCATACCAACTGCGTGCGTGGGCCACCGGCACACTGGAAGGGCGGTCCTCACCAGCACCCAGCCCCCCTGACACCTTGACCTTGGCCGTGCAGCCTCCAGGGCCGTGAGGAAGAAGTGCCCAGTCTGCGGTGTTCTGTGACGGAAATCCAGCTGTCCTGGCACAGCACAGAACCCCGGACCCTCTGTGTGGCCCCTGCAGGCGGTGGGAAGGCAGCACTGTGTTCCCATTTTACCGACGGGGACACCGACGTCCCCAGATGGGATGGCGTGCAGCTGCCGTGGGCAAGGAGGCAAGCGGCTTCGCCAGCAGCCCGCACCGCTTTGCCGTGTCTTGGCGTTTTCCTGACAGCGAGGCTCACACCTGCTCTTTGGAAGACACCTCAGGCCCCCGATGACAGAATGGCCGGGGGCGGAGTCCCTGGGCCCCGCAGTGGGGACAGAAGCACTCACAAGTCCCCGCAGACTCTGTCCCTGAGGCCACAGAGCCTCCAGGGTGGCCGCCCGAGCTGCTGTGTTGCGCCTCGGCGGACGTCATCGTTTCAGCTGTGACGCCTTCCTGCCCCTGTGCTGCGGGCTTGGAAACCCCAGACACAAGAGGTGCCAGCTCACGCCCGCACGATGCCACGCGAGGTTTGTCGTTGGGCTGCCGAGCCCTGTCCCCACGCAGGCCCCTGCCACCTTTCATTTGCAGGTGGCTGTGGGAGTGAGACTGGGGGCTCCTGAAACCGGCCCCCGGGCTGTTCCTCCCCTCACAGCTGCCATTCCCAAGGGCGTTGGTCTTTTTGTCACCGGGTCCTGGGGGGCAGAGGGGGTGCTTCCGGACCCTGGGTCAGCAGGAAACACTCGGTGGGTGTGCCGGAGAGGCACCCCTGTGGCCACCTGCGATGTGCGAATGGGTTTTACTCACAGGTCAGCGGGCCCAGGCGAGGTGTCTGTCCCCGGGGGTGAACACGCCTGCACACTCTGCCCGCTGCAGCCCAGAGCTTCCTCTAACCCAGTTCGCAAACGGCCACCCCGCCTTGGGGTTTCGTTTTGCGTGTGCACGCCGGCCCGGCCCCGGCCGCCTGGGACGCCCGGGAACTCAGCTCCAACAGGCACGTGTGTGTCTCCGGGTCCCCTCGCTGCTGCGGGCACACACACGGATGCGAGAGACGGTCACCATCGCCGGGAACACAGGGAGGGAGGAGCCTGCTGGGGGCTTTAGAGATGCGTCCACCCAGGAGGTCTGAGACAGGACATGGCGGGCAGACCCAGGACCACGGAAACGGTCCTTCTGGGGCGCGTGGTACTGCGGTCTTCTGAGGTCGGCGAGTGTCTGGGGAAAGTTCTTTCCACGTCCGCCGGCGTGGCTCTCACCGCCCTTGTATCTGCGATGGTCCCAGCGAGCTATGAGCTTCTGAGGATGCCGAGTTTGGGTGCCACCATTGCGGGAGGTCTTAGGACAGACGTCCAGCCAGCTGAGGGATGTTACGGTGGCAGAAAAACTGTGGGCATCGAAAGCCCACGCCGCAGTATTCACGGAGTTTTTACCGCTCTGATCTGCCACGATCGGTGTGTGACCGGCCACCCGCGGGTGGCTTCCTGGCGTCCAGGCCCTGGTGGGGCAGCCCGGTGGATGGCTGGGTGGCGGCGATGAGTCATAGAGAGACCGCCGGGCCGGTCGCGGCGCGCAGACGCAGCGTTTGTGGTCTGGACCCGGAGGAGGCTCTCCGGCGTCAGGAGGGAAATTTTATGAAATGAGCAAAACCGGCTGCTTTGCGTGGCCCCCAGGCACCGGGGGTGCGGAGGTGGCTCTTGCCAGAGGCAGGGGCTCGGGGCTGCCCCGGCAGGTGACCGGCCGCCGTGCCGGGCTCGCCAGCTGCAGGCGGGAGCCTGTGCGACTGCTGTGCCCCACGCCCGTCTCAGAGGCTGTGTGTCACCTGTCAAGGTGCCTGAGTATCTGCCCACAATCTCTCTTTAGTCTTTCTGGACGGCTTTATTGAGGTGCGATTTACATACTGTGCTGTCTGCCGGTTCAGAGGGTGCACGGTTTCGCGGTTCTCACTGTCAGCAGAGACACGCCGCCTCGGCGTGACACCAGCCCACCAGGTTTGCGCGGCCCCTACAAGCCGTCCTGCGGTCCGCGGCCATCCCCCGGGGGGAGCCGTGCTCCTGGCACCCGGTGGGCGGGGACCCGGGAGGCTGCTCAGCACCCTCTACCCTCCAGGGCCCAAGTTGTGGTGTGAGGCTGGGAAATGCTGACCTTGTAGGACAGTCTCTGTCTTTCTGTGTCCTCTCTCTGTCTGTCTGTCTATCATCCATCCATCCATTACTTATCTATCCATCCACACATCTACCCATCTATGTGTCTATGTACTTATTCATCCATCCATCCCTCCATCCATCCACCCATCCATCCATCCCTCCCCCTATCTCCCCATCTCAGTGGTCAGCACCTGAGGACAGTCCTGACGTCCAGTGTCACCGTGCCCTGACCCAGTCCTGTGTACTCGTAGGGACACCTTTTCCTCCCCGTGACTATGAAGGGCCCCCACCCTCTTTCCCGAGTGCCCTCGAGGTTCCTACTTTCCAGGCCTCACCTTCCTGCGCTCGCCTCGGCTGCAGTGCCCTCGTTCCCGCTTCCCACCCAGGCCTTGTCCTCGCCTCTGCCCTGCCACCGGCTCGGCGACTGCGTGGCAAACGCGTGAAGGGACCCGAGACAGCACCGTGGCCCAGGACAAAATGCTCGGGAACCCGTGCACCCCGACAGGTGCCCGAGCTCGCCCCAGCACCGCAGCCTGACCGTCCCCGACCTGGGCCTGCACGGCCTCGCCCGAAGCTGGTGTCACTTGGGGGGCGTACGGAAGGGACAGTGCGTGTCCCCACACATCCTTCAACCAGGCAACTGCAGAGTTTGTGGGCACACAAGAGACAGACTGGAGCATTGTCCCTGTGCCCAAGGGCTGCGGGTCCGATGCCACCCAGGCCGCACAAGGGAGGCAGCCGAGCGATAGGTCTCTCTCACACCGATGTTTCTCTCTCTCTTGAAAAGTCAATCAACACAACCTCAGGTGAGGACTAGGGGACAACGAGGCCCAAAACAGCCGAGGACAAAGCTAGAAGATGGCTGAAAGCTACGGCCACCAACACAGAGTGGCACTGCAGGGGAAACCTGAGAACAAACAGGTCAATAGCACAGAACGGGAGTCCAGCGAGGAGCCCGTTAAAGACTGTCCTGCTTCATGAAAACGAACCCAAGACAGACCACACACCTGAATGTCAAAGGCAAAGCTACAAAGGGAGAGGGCACGGGAGGGGCTCTGGAGCACCCCCGGGCACAGCGGGGACATGTCCCATCGGACGCCAAAGACCCGGTGCGTGAGCAAAGAAAGAGATGATGCAGACTTCCTCCACCCGAACGGCTTCTGCTGGCCATGGCGACGCCAGGATCAGGAGAAGAGAAGCCGAGACTGGGAGCAGACATTTCCGAAAGACACTCCGGAAGGGAGACTTGTATCCACAACGTACAAAGACGGCGTCATACTGGGCAGGAGAGAAAGCCCCGAGTTCTCGACCGGACGGAGTCCTGCGGGGACAGCGCACAGGTAGCCGAGAGAGGCAGCTCCTCGTCACGAGCAAAATTGCTAATTCACCAGGAGGAGATATCCCCCAACAGGCAAGACGACAGCTGAGCTCTAAGGTCTCAAGAGCCCTGAATGCCAGGGTGTGTGGCGGGGAGGGTGGGGGACAGACAAGGACACTTGTCACTCAGTGCTGCCCTCGATGCCATGCCAGGGTCTCCTCCAGACCCCGGCACAGCTCCCGCCCCCAGCATTGGCCACCTTTGCAG